ATGTACGTGTACTTAGTTTGTACTCACAGTACATCATAGTTGTTTTGTTTTAACCGCATAAATACACGTGTGCGAGTATGCTACGCTGACAGTAACTGTACGTTTTGGCTTGGCTTTGGTTGTTTCTTTTGTTCCTTTGTTTTCTCTCTCGTCCGCCGTCAACTCACCTGTTTATTCTGGTCTCCTTAACCGTCTTCACTCCACCCCGGACTGTATACGTGGACTAGGCCTTTGATAGGTTCTTTTGTTACTTTGTTGTTTTACCCGTCATCCTCCCCCGGGTCAGCATCCTTGAGTCCTTGAGTCCTACCTTTGTTTTCCCTCACCCACCTGGGGAGGGGGGCGTCTCTAACAGCAACTTGTTCAAAACTTATGTTAAAGATAAGGTAAGTCCAGTGTTCAAATAAAGTTGGCCAACATATGAGCAATGTTCTAAACGCAAATCTAAATATTTATATCTGAAAGTATGTCTAATGAAATATCCTTTAATTGCATTTTTTTAATTTGTTTATTATTTTCCATCCAGTAGAAAGACCAACATTTTGAATGTCATTTAGCAGAATGTTGAAATATTATACAAAATTCAAATACAGACCTTAGAGCTCCTCTGACTGGACTTGCAGATATAAGCCAACAAGATGTTAACCAGCTCCTGCAAAAATCCCTTGGTCATCTCCTCACTGGCAGAAGTTGGGAGCAGGTCTGCACACACACACACAAATTACAGCTGCCTTAGAGTAATGGCACATCTTGGCATAAACATTTATCTATGGTTAAATAAGAAGGGAGGGAGTCCGGTTTGGGGACCACAGGATCTTGTCTCTACTTTTTGCAGATGACGTTGTCCTGTTGGCCCCATCAAACCTGGGCCTCCAGTGTGCACTGGGGCGGTTTGCAGCCGAGTGTGAAGCGGCTGGGATGAGAATCAGCAACCCCAAATTCCGAGGCCATGGTTCTCAGTCGGAAAAGGGTGGCTTGTTCCCTTCAGGTTGGTGGAGAGTTCCTGCCTCAAGTGGAGGAGTTCAAGTATCTTGGGGTCTTGTTCACGAGTGAGGGAAGGATGGAACGGGAGATTGACAGGCGGATCGGTGCAGCTTCTGCAGTAATACAGTCGATGTACCGGTCCATCGTGGTGAAGAAGGAGCTGAGCTGTAAGGCGAAGCTCTCGATTTACTGGTCAATCTACGTTCCGACTCTCACCTATGGTCATGAACTTTGGGTCATGACCGAAAGGGCAAGATCCCGGATACAAGCGGCTGAAATGAGCTTCCTCTGCAGGGTGGCCGGGCGCACCCTTAGAGATAGGGTGAGGAGCTCGGTCACCCGGGAGGAGCTCAGAGTAGAACCGCTGCTCCTCCACATCGAGAGAAGCCAGCTGAGGTGGCTCGGGCATCTGTTTCAGATGCCTCCTGGGCGCCTTCCTAGGGAGGTGTTC